CACTTGAATCTGACTTTCTCTAGATCGTTTCACGCTCTGATACCAGTTGTTGGGAATCTAACACCGAAATCCCTAATGTAACAGAAACGCAGAATAGAAAAGTACACAAGATTTACGAGGTTCGGCAACTGCCTACGTCCTCGGGAGCCACACAGTAAATTTCTTATTAATCAAACAAGAAATTACAATTCAAGAGCAGATCTCAAAACTGAGATTTCTCAAAATGAATACTGTAGCTACAGTGTTAATAATTAAAGGGAATAGTCCCTTTCAATTCTCTCTTGAGAATAAAGAATGTTCCACAATAAATCCCCTCTTTAATTCCCCCTCAAAGCTTTGAGAGCTGGGAAAAGATTCTCTCTCTTCTTTAATCCCCTTCTCTTAATGCTCTTCTTAACTTCTTAAATCTCCCCTCAAAATCCCAAAATTCTGACTTCTGAGCGCTGGAGAAAAAGGAACGAAGAACAAAGGGAAAAATCGCCGCTAGAGAAGAAGTCGGGAAAAGAGCACAGCAACTAGGGCATCGGGGGAGGAGCTTTTATTGGCGAATATGAACAGCCGACCGTACCGGTGCGTTGGCCGACAGCGACCTCGTCGCCCAGCGCACAACGCGTCACGACGCGCTTTAAGGGCGGGTCGCCTGCGACGATCGCTGCCCGACAGTGACTCGAACGCCGAAAACGCCTGGAGGTCAAGGGCGGGCGATCCGACGAACGCAAGAGGACTCGCTGGAGCTTGTCTGATCCTGCCGAAACCTCGCCTCAGCTTCGCCTGCGTCATCCTCGAGCTCGTCGGAGCTCCTCGCCGGCGGAGGTTGGTATCCACCCCCAAAACTAACAATCTCCCACTTGGAGACCAAACCGACATCAACAGGCTATCTCATCAAGCTCCTCTTCTGTGTGGCTCTGCCCTCATTATCTATGCATGAGGCCAACTGAAGTTGCGCACAACTCCAGTTTCTGAACAGTCACCGTCTTTGTTAACATATATGCTGGATTCTTACTTCCTGTAATCTTTTCCAGTTTTAACACGTCATCTTCCAACAGGGATCTGATGAAGTGGTACCGAAGCGCAATATGCTTCGTTCTAGAATGAAATGCTGAATTCTTCGCCAAGTGTATCGCACTCTGGCTATCACTGTGCAAAACATTCTTCTCCTGTTTGAATCCTAGCTCTGTCAATAAGCCCTGAAGCCATATCATCTCTTTACTGGCTTCAGTCACTGCAACATACTCAGCTTCTGTAGTGGGTAGGGTAACGATCTTCTGTACCTGTGACATCCAACTAACAGCTGTACTTCCGACGGTGAATACATAGCCGGTGGTGCTTCTTCGGTGATCAACTTCGCCGCCGAAGTCTGCATCTACGTACCCTTGCACTTCTACCTCTCCCTTACCAAAGTGCAAACACTTCTGTGTGGTGCCTCGTAGATATCTCAGAATCCACTTGACCGCTTCCCAATGAGCTTTTCCTGGATTCGACATAAACCGGCTGACCACTCCCACTGCATGGCCAATATCTGGTCTCGTACAGACCATTGCGTACATCAAACTTCCGATAGCTGAGGCGTAAGGAACCTGAGCCATACTCTCTTTCTCTTCTTCTGACTGAGGAGACTGATCCTTCGACAGACAAAAATGGCTGGCCAAGGGTGTGCTCACTGGCTTAGCGTCGCCCATGCTGAATCTTTGCAAAACATGGTTGATGTACTCCGTCTGAGACAACCGTAAGAACCCTTTCTTCTTGTCTCTCGTAATTTGCATTCCAATGATCTTCTTCGCTGGACCCAAGTCCTTCATGTCAAACTCCTTTGACAGCTGCTGCTTTAAACTCTTGATATCCTTCATATCTGCTCCTGCAACCAACATATCATCAACATACAGTAGTAGGATGATATAACTAGACTGATATCTTTTGAAGTAGCAACAGTGGTCGGCGTTGCACTTCTGGAAACCTTCCTTGTGCATGAAGCCGTCAAACTTTTTGTCCCACTGTCTTGGGGCTTGTTTCAGGCCATACAAGCTCTTCTTGAGTCTGCACACCAGGTTCTTCTTCTTTCCTTCTGAGAAACCTTCTGTCTAGTGCATGTATATCTCCTCTTCTAGATCTCCGTGAAGAAACGCCGTCTTCACGTCTAACTTCTCGAGATGAATATCTTCAATTGCTACAATACTCATCACGGTCCTGATAGTATTTAGCTTCACCACGGAAGCGAAAATATCGGTATAGTCAATTCCTTCCTTCTGCTGAAAACCTTTGACAACTAGCCGGGCTTTATATCTTCTGGAACCATCCTGCTCCTCTTTCACCCGGTACACCCATTTGTTGTGGAGTGCCTTCTTACCCGTGGGCAACTCAGCTAGTTCCCACGTCTGGTTTGATATGAGAGACTTCATCTCATCTTTCATTGCAAGCTCCCACTTGCTCGCATCTCCACACTGACAAGCTTCATCAAAGCTTTCAGGCTCCCCACCATCTGTCAACAACAGATAGTTCATGTATCTCCTGTTGGGTACAGGAGGACGAGAAGATCTTCTTAATATCGGAGCTGGTGCGTCGGGCTCCTGCGCACCATCTTGTCCAGCAGGCTCTTCTTGCTGAGGACCCTCTGCATTGGATTCTTCCGAGAGGTTACTCGGGACATCATCTGCATCCACAAATATTGACTCGATCTCTGAGTCATCTGTCTTGTGCATGTCCTTGTACATCACCTTCTCGTTGAATATCACATCTCTGATGCGGATCACTTTCTTGTTTTCGTTGTCCCAAATGCGGTAGCCGAACTCATCTTCACCATAGCCGATGAAAGTGCATTTCTTTGACTTGGGATCAAGCTTATTCCTGCCTTGATCACTAATATGCACGTAAGCTACATAACCGAAAACTTTAAGATGTGAGAGTTTTACCTCCTTTCCGCACCATACCTCCTCTGGTATTCTGTGCTCCAATGGAACCGATGGACCTCGGTTGATAAAGTAAGCTGCTGTGTTGACCGCTTCTGCCCAGAACTGCTTCGGTAGGCCTGACTGTACTCGAATGCTTCTGGCTCTCTCTGTCAACGTTCGGTTCATCCGCTCAGCTACACCATTTTGCTGAGGCGTGCCGGGCACGGTTCTCTCCATTCTGATCCTGTGCTCATAACAGAACTTCTTGAATCCGGTGTCTTTATATTCACCGTCATTATCGGTCCTAAGCTTCTTTATTCTCAGACCGGTCTCATTCTCGACCATAGCTTTCCATCTCCTGAAAGCCTCAAATACTTCTGACTTATGCTTCAGAAAGTAGACCCACACTTTCCGAGAGTGATCATCAATAAAAGTCACGAAGTAGTGTTTTCCACCAATGGACGTGATGGTTGTTGGTCCCCATACATCTGAGTGAACGAGCTCTAGTTTCTCTTTCCTGGGGGTTCTGCCACTTGTCTGAAAGCTGACTCTCATCTGCTTTCCGAGTATGCATTCTTCACACATATCCATCTCCACTGACTGCAGTCCTGGGAGTTTTCTCTTTGTGTGCATGATTTTCATCCCCTTCTCACTCATATGACCGAGTCTCTGGTGCCACAGCTTTGAAGTTTCATTACCTGCTGCAACTGAGATCAAACAACGTGCACCTGCTGTCATATATAGGGTACCAGTCTTCCTGCCTCGGGCAATCGTCATTGCGCCCTTTGAGATCTTCCAATCATCTCCATGGAAGATCGTGGTATATCCTTCGCCAGCCAACTGGCCTACGGATATTAAGTTCTTTCTCAGGTCGGGAATATGCCTGACATCCTTCAGCTCCCATACTGACCCGTTCAACTTAATTTTCACCACGCCTTTGCCCACAATAGCACATGGTTGATCATCACCAAGATATACGTATCTAAGATTTTCGGGGGTATACTTCTCGAAGAATTCTTTCTGAGAGGTAGCATGGAACGACGCTCCTGAATCTAACACCCAAGATTCCTCCTTGCTCTCCAAAGAGCATATCAATGCGTCGTCTCCTCCTGAGGTGGAGGTGACATTCACCTCTGCTTTCGCCTCCTTCTCCTTCTGTGCACTCTTGCACTGATTCTTGTAATGTCCGGTCTTTCCACAATTCTAACACTCGATAGCTTTTGAGCTGTTGCTTGAATTCCTTGACTTGGACCTCCTGTCCTTTGATCTACCTCTGAAGTTTGATTTGCCCCGTCCGTTTTCTCTGGTTGAATTTCTACCTCTTGACTCTGTATGCAATACTGAAGAGGTTGTAGCTTCACCCGTCTCACTCCGTCGGATCTCCTCACTGAGAACCAAATCACGAACGTCGTCGAACTTCAACTTTTTGTTTCCCGACGAGCTACTCACTACCGTGACTGTAGCGTTCCAACTCTCTGGTAGGGAAGACAAAAGTATCAACGCCCAAACTTCCTCCTCAAACTCGATTCCAACTGAACCCAATTGGGTTGTAATCGTATTAAGTTCATTGAGGTGTTGTGCTACTGACGCGCCTTCCGCCATTTTCAGATTGAATAACCGCCGCATCAAATGAACTTTGTTCGCGGCTGATGGCTTCTCATACATATTTAAGAGAGTTGCCATAAGACCTGCTGTGGTCTTCTCCTTTGCTATGTTGAACGCAACATTACGAGTCAGCGTCAATCTGATAACTCTGAGGGCTTGTCTATCTAGAAGGTTCCACTCATCTGCCTTCATAGAATCTGGCTTCTTCCCCGATAATGGTTGATACAGATTTTTCTGATACAGATAATCCTCTATCTGCATTTTCCAGAATCCGAAATCTGTTCCATCAAAATTTTCAAGTCTCATTTTTCCTTCATCTGCGGCCATGGCTCCTACTTGAATCTGACTTCCTCTAGATCGTTTCACGCTCTGATACCAGTTGTTGGGAATCTAACACCGAAATCCCTAATGCAACAGAAACGCAGAATAGAAAAGTACACAAGATTTATGAGGTTAGGCAACTGCCTACGTCCTCGGGAGCCACACAGTAAATTTCTTATTAATCAAACAAGAAATTACAATTCAAGAGCATATCTCAAAACTAAGATTTCTCAAAATGAACATTGTGCCATTTCTCAAAATGAACACTGTAGGCACAATGTTAATAATTAAAGGGAATAGTCCCTTTCAATTCTCTCTTGAGAATAAAGAATGTTCCACAATAAATCCCCTCTTTAATTCCCCCTCAAAGCTTTGAGAGCTGGGAAAAGATTCTCTCTCTTCTTTAATCCCCTTTTCTTAATGCTCTTCTTAACTTCTTAAATCTCCCCTCAAAATCCCAAAATTCTGACTTCTGAGCGCTGGAGAAAAAGGAACGAAGAACAAAGGGAAAAATCGCCGCCAGAGAAGAAGTCGGGAAAAGAGCACAACAGCTAGGGCATCGAGGGAGGAGCTTTTATAGGCGAATATGACAGGCTGGCGACAGCCTGTCGCCAGCGCACAAGCCCGACTGGCGACAGCCTGTCGCCAGCGCACAAGCCCGACGCAAGGGTCGGAGTGCTGAGACGCGGAGTTCGAACCGCCAAAACGCCGAGGTCAAGAGGGGCGTTCGAACGCAGAGCTCGAGCTTGTCTGAGCTCCCGAGGCTTGCCTGAACCTCGCCTCCAGCTTCGCCTGCGTCATCCTCGAGCTCGTCGGAGCTTCTCGCCGGCGGAGGTTGGTATCCACCCCAAAACTAACATTTAGGTTATCTATTTACTTTCATTATTTTGTACAGGTTAGTTTCCTTTCTGCAGTTTCGTCTTATTTGACTATAATACCCACATAGTTTCCTTTCCATCTTATTTGACCGATACCTACATATATTAAAAATTTCAAAACGCATGATCCGCATAATTCGATTAATCGCTACATGATATCATGTGTAATATAATACGTCTACCCGATACGATTTGTATCCTAGCAGAATATATACACAGTGTATAAGTAATTATGCCAACATTTTTTTTCTAAGCCAAAGTCCTTTATAACTAATTAATTGATCATAAACACATCAGTTAGTTTGTGTACAAAGAGAGAACACACCAAAAAAAATTGACATAATCTTGTTTTTGTTGATGTTTGATTGCAGAAAAAGAATGCATATTATACAAATAGGTAACTGAAGCGAAATTAATAATAGATGCGAGCCTATGCACAGCGGAAAACGAAGCCCCTAAAAGCCTTTTTTTTTTTGGAATTTTAAGTGATCCTGAAGCAAATTGAATTGCCATTCTTCATTTGAACTTTTCCTCTTGTTTGATATGACATGATCAAATGCCATAGTTTCTGATGATTAATATATAAAAGGAATGATAGCTTTCCGGGACTCGGGATAACTATCCAACTTAAGATGATACCATCGATGAGTCTCCGCTGATGCAAATACTAGATTTGCTACGACAAACAACAAAACGAGCCACAAAGTGAAATCCAAACCCCCACTAGCAACCAAAATCCCAGCATATATCACGATTTCGAAAAGATAATGTGGGCAAGAGACATACTCAAACCAGTCACCATGGGGGATTACATAGCCATTCTCTCTTTTATTTTCACGCAAAGACCCAAGAATTTGATGACAACGAAGCTGATGTAACCAACCCCACATAAAAATAGTAGACCCAATCCACTGACACCATCCCAAACCGATAACCGGTTTCAATATTTCCTTCCATGTGAAGTCAACCGGTAATTCAGTCGGCCCTTTGACTGTGAATTCCGTCAATAGATTAACTGAATAACTCAATGCCTCCAGGGAAAATTTACTGGCAAGTGAAAGAGGCGCTGCTGTATAAAAGAACAAACCAGTGAAGTAGCCAACGATGTGCATCCGAGCTGATGGGCTATAAATAAACACGCATTTTGACTCATATAAGCGTCTCAAGACTTGAGCTTCCATCAATAAAAGAACAAATACGGTTCTCCAAGCCTTAATTCTGTCCCCAGCAGAAGCTATATGGTCATCAGCATTATATGCATAGAGCCATGTTGAAAGGGCCAACCATGTTGTTAACACCACAGCTAAGACATAGAAATGTAAGAAGTATCTTTGAGGAATTGAGAATTTATCTGAAGACTGTGAGGTTTTTCCTCTAGCAGCAAATTTTAAGAGCAAACTCTGAAGGAAATTAAAAGGTTTAACTGGAATAGATGCCACAACTATTGGAAGTATGGCTGCAATCCAGGCAATTCTCAAAAAAACTATGAATTCTATATCCATTAGAGAAGCAGCTGAGCGCAAGTGAGGTTGGAATTGAGCCATAATGTCATCTCGTTAACTGCACTTAAAAGGAGTAAATCTCAGCAAATATAAATCATGAAAGGAGGCCAATAAATGGAAGAAGTTTTACCATGCAATGTATATTCCGACGTACTAAAAACTGTAATGATCTTTTGGTATGTTTTCATAATCATGTCAAGAATCTAGCTCTCTTATTCATTTTATGGATTAATTCTTTCTTGAGACCTGACTTGTTCTAGAAAAGTAGAATCAGAACTTCTGTGAATGATCCACATAAGTAAGGAAAAACACTTAAAAACAATACCTCTACCGTTAAGTAAGGGATAATTAAAGAAAAGAAGAGCTGCGTATTGTTTAGAAATGAAGAAGACTCAGAGATCGCAATCTTTCCTGCCCTTCGAACTTGTTAACATTTCTCTAATTTTTACTAGCAATTTCAATGTTTATCAACAGAAGATTTCTAAAGTCAAAACTAAAAGAGAAGTATAAAAATGACAAGTTTGTTGTCTTTGTTTTTGTAGACAACCAGTTTTCTCAAATAATGAAGGAAAAAAGGAAAATCAAGTGTTTCCTACCTGAGGCAATAAGTTAAAAGTTTCAATTAGGTCTTTAATGTCCTTAATTAGGAGTAAAAGTAACTATGAGTTATACAATGCAAAAGGACATGAAAACCCTATATAAACTAGTCAATCTCTCAAAGCCTCATACACAAGAAGAAAAATACCAAAAGCTACAAGGTGTGTTTGGATGGTGGTTAGAGGATGGAAGGGAAGGTGAAATTTTATAATACCTTTGTTTGGGAGTTTTTTTTCAGGGGGTTTTGAGGGGTTAAAAGGATGGAAGGAAAGGTGATATTTGGTAAGATTTTTCTCTCTCCCAACTTGGGGGTTAAGAGGGAGTAAAAAAATGGGTGTAAATATATTCAAGATGGAGAGACAATTTTACCCTTATAATTTATTAGTTGACAAAATGTCTTAATAACATCTAAGGGTATTTATGCAACTTTATATATATTCACTTCACTTCACTTCCCTCCCCTTTATTAGAACTCCCAAACAATGAGAATTAAGTTTACTTCCATTCGCCTTACTAAACTCCCAAACAACATTTATCTTTTCCCCTTCTTTCCTATCTTTCCTTTCCATTATTTATCTTTCCCTCCCTTCTCCTAGTAAACCTCCAACAAAAACATATTAGAGAGAAGAGGAGGAGAAAGCTTCTATCAAAAGTAAGTTGTTTTATTTCTTTTAGTTTTAGATTAGAATTATGTGGATTTAGAAAAGAAAAAGAAAAGTAGCTTTTTACAGCTACTGGCATCGCCCCTGACGATGTCCAGTGACCTCATGCCATTTCTTTCTTTTATTTCTATTTTTCACTTTTAATGTATGTCCAATGTCCTATTAAAATCGGATGAAATTCCAGCAATCACCATTTGTAGCTAACGGTTTAACATGTTTCAAATAGAAGCTCAAGTGGATAAAAGGTGCAATGAGGTGTACTTTCTTTTTGCAATTAGGTGTACCTCAAAAGTAGTTACACTAGTATATTATGGTTTTTTAAAAAATTTAGTATTTCATGAAGTTGCAATTTTTTCTTTACAAATTAAATTTTCAAGTTACAATTATGGATATGTAATACATGCTTGTCTCTCAAACAAGATCACTCTTCCACTCAATTTCATAGCCTTATTGTGACAATTGAGAAAGTTTTATAAGTGTATTATAGATAGACATTTACAAGTAAAAGTATTTTATGCTCATTTTATTGTTTTCTTATAACTACATGAGTTTTATAATTGTCAAATGATATACATGGAAGATTGTTTTTTTCAATATCTTATATGCTTCCTTATTTGTTCTTTTATAGTAGTTAATTTAGTTAATTTGAACTCGGTATCAATAATTTCTTGAAGTTGTCTAATGACCCTAATCCATTCGTGAGAAGCAATGTTTTAAATGTTGGCTGTCATGTCAGACATGTCGGCCGACATGATGGATTTAGGAGACAACCGACATGATATGACGCTTTTCAATGTGTATTGTATTTTTAGGATTCGTGTCGGATATATCTTGGGACATGTTAGAATGTCTGCTAGATATATTGGGGAACATGTCGGCTACGTCGACCGATTTTTCAGTCTAAAAAATTAGTTGTTTTTTTTTATGTTTATCTAATCAGGTTTGAGTTTAAATTTCTGATTGACTTAATATTGCTTCTAAAGACAAAACCCGATCAGCTGGGAAAAAAATGTTCAAAGTCATTTCTGTCATTCTTCTCTCTCTCCTTCAACATTTCATCGGTCTATTCTCCATGATGTTCCTTCGTCATCAAAATCGGACGATCTTCTCTCCTTAACTGCAAACATCGAGCTTTTCTTTTCCCACCTCTTTTCTTTAATATCAACTCTAAGCATCATAAGTTATTTACTTTTTATATGTTTAGACAATAAAATTTATTAAGTATGTTTAAGTTTTATTTATAATATTATATTACACATATGCACACCATCAGATATGACAATCCAATATTTTTTTCATGTCCTTTAACATATCTCTGATTTCCGCTATGAGACATGAATTTTAGCCGTCTGACATGAACCTCACATCCAACATTTAAAACCTTGGTAAGAAGTTATCTGCTCAGTGAATATAAACTCACCCTGTTGATTTTAAATCTCTTTCAATAAAGAATTAAATAGCTCTATCTGTAGCTCAAAGTTATTGGACATGAGAAGAATCTATAAGATTGCTTGACACAGAGAGTTATAGTTATATTAGACACGCTGCTATGCTTATGTAATAATAAGACTCTTTCGACTCACTAGAGTTATAGTTTATTAATATTTCTGCTATGAGATGTCATGACAATCCCTGCTTCGTTTGATGAATCTCATCTAACACCATAATCAAGTATGTCTAAAACAAAACGAAAAATACTTCTTCACTCCCTACCATACAGTTAATCCACAATATCTATCCAACTATATCCAAACCTCTCTCACATGCTTTACCATGGGAAGAACTATCACACTTCACTTTTCCCCCCTTTCCCTTTCATGATTTGTTCGTTCTTCCCTTCCATGTCCCACGTCAGAGCACTCCCAAGTCTCCAACTATGATTCCATGTCATAAGATGGCAATCAATGCCATAAAACAATTGTTTCTCTCAAACTAATAAGTAATAATTGATTGGTTATGAACGAAAGGGGCATTCCAGTAGAACACACGGCAAAGTCGTTTCGCTCCCTCGTGGGGGGGCTAGGTTTGATTTCCGTGTGCACCAAAGGCACGATCAAAAGAAAAAATTATTGATTGGTTATGTTAATATATGAATGCATCAAAAAATAGAAAAACATTCACCTATTGAACAACGCCACTTATCATGTAAAAATTTTTAGAATAATATTGTCTTGGACCTTTGACACCTATATCTTGTATTCTTGTATTGATAAACACGACAAAACACTAAGCAATTGATATTGCTCTTCTAGGATGTCATAACTCACAAGTACTATGTCCAGTTCCTTCAAAATATACCCTTAAAAAGGGATATGGTACCTTTGGATAAGAAAAATATTGTTCACAATCCAATTACTAGAAACAGGATGCACTATAGCAACTACCTCTCCTAGGCAACCGACTCAGCTGTATTCCTCAAGTCATGCTGAAAAATATTGTTCACGAAAAAAACGAAGAGGAACTATTGGATCATATTAGTTTAATACCCAACAACAAGACACAAAACAAGCAATTCCAATAGAACTTGAGAATCTGCAATCAGGTTTTCTGTAAAAATAGCAAATCTTACAGTATATACAGATAGTTGTATCTAGGATTAATAGTAACCGCCTCCTTGGCCTAAAAGATTAAGATCTAGCTGTAAAAATTAGTCAGAAAACTAAGTATAGAAGAAAGAAATTGTCACTACTCCAATAGCTAGTTCGCAGCTCTAGGGTTTTGAGACTGACATGAAAGGATTGGGAATTTTTAGAGATTCCACCTTTTTCAATTGCTAACAGTGAATTAGTTCCCACCAATTATACATTCAGCATACAATATAACAATTCTAGGGTTCTGGCTTTGATGATAACATAGACTTGGTTAATGATTCGAATTGAAAAAAGAGCAAGAAATCTTAACATTAAGAACTTACGTTAATAGATTGCTGATGAGATTGGAAGACAATGACGAAGCAAAAAGTTAAGAGTTTGTGGTGCAAGAGAGAGGAAAAAAGAACAAAAACCTAGAAATCTCCGGGACGACGAAGACGGAGGAGGAATGGGAAAAAATTTGGACCGGTTCTCGATTTGTGTGTCATCCATGCGCACATCCTTGCGCAAGGGCCATGCCAATCTTCTCGGTATTGTTCCAATTTTATCGGATGTCTCCAAAGAGATGCCAACTACTGATGCGTCTTTGGATATGAAGAGCTATTATTTCAAATAGTAACCAATGTGGGACAAAACCACACTTCTAAATTTAATTTGAAATTAGTGTTAGTGATTACATGGCTCAATGAACTGGTAAGATTGCGAGCCCAAGTGGCGAGCCTGCTCCTAATCATGCTAATTTGCAAGTTCAAGTAGACAAAAGGTGCAATTAGATGTACTTTCTTTTTTGCAAGTAGGTGTAACTCAAAAGTAGTTATATTAGTATTTTATGGCTTTAAAAAAAGCCAAAGGGCAAAAATGTGCATGTAGTTGTAAGAAAACAATGAAATGAGCACGAAATACTTTAATTGTAAATGTCTATCTATAATTCACTTTGCAACCTCCTCAGTTGTCACAATAAGGCTATGAAATTGAGTGGGAAGAGTGATCTTGTTCGAGAGACAAGCATGTATTACATATCCATAACTGTAACTTGAAATTTTACCTGTAAAGAAAAAATGCAACTTCGTGAATTACTATTTTTTTTTAAAAACCATAAAATACTAATATAACTACTTGAAATTTGAGTGGGATTAATTACTTGAAAATTTACCCGTAAAGCATGTGAGAAAGGTTTGGATATAGCTGGGTAGATATTGTGGATTAACTATATGGTAGGGTGAAGAAGTGTTTTTCGTTTTGTTTTAGACATACTTGATTACAACCAAAGTTTTAAATGTCGCCCGACATGTCCGACATGTCGGCCGACATATCGGTTTGAGGACTCAACCGACACAACATGGACATTTTCAACTCGTATATCGATTTTTAGGGCCAAATCAGAAATATCAGGGTCATATCAGGCATATCGATCTATTTTTTAGCTTTGAAAAATCGACCGATATGGTTTTTTTTTTAAGATCTATTTTTTATTATCGGGTTTGGGTTTAGTGATAAATACTCAAACTCATTTGACCCGTTCTCATATTTAAGGGTTTCTTATGAACCCGATAGAAAGAATTTATGAACCTATATCCATATATTATTTACTTTTTTATATGTTTAGTCTCTAGAATTTATAAAGTATGTTTATATTGAATTTATGAATGCTTAGATTACATTTAAGACATGATATTATACATATGCGCACTACCCGATATGGCAATCCGATATTTAGTCAATGTCCCCCGATATATCCCCGATTTCCGCTATCCGATATGTATTTCAGCCATCCGACATTAACCCGACATCCGACATTTAAAACCTTGATTACAACATTAGATGAGATTGATCAAATGAACAAGGGATTGTCATGACATTTCAGTAGGACGTTCTTTCTTGCAACTAGCAAAAATGTAGGAGAAAATATTTGGAATTTACCTTTGTTGGTCCTTTCGTTCTTTCAATCTCACATGCTTGGGAGAAAAGAGGCGTGGGATACATGCACTTACATTGCAACTATTCTGGAGTCAAAACAATCTTTAATTGTATTCAAGCAATACTGGTTAGTCTGACTGTATCTATAAAATTCTGAATGGATTGTTTTGAATTGCATTCAAAAATAAATTACACATAGGTTAAGAATAACTAGCAACAAACCAGCTAGTACCACTTAGTTTAATGATTAATGGAAGCTCAGCTTTAGGCATTTTGTTGGCATTAGGTTAATTTGAATAATCATGCAAATTAATTGTAAGTTGACAGACAAAGTTGTATCTCTTAGTTTCTTGACGAGCAAGGTTTTGTTATAATTATCATATTAAAATAATTCATATATGTGAGCAAGTGTGGTGATTTCTATGATCTACTACCCAACTTATTCTCAAAATCACTTGATATTATAGTTAAAGTTCAAAAATAGTATTCATCATCTATAGCAAAATTTCAGATGATTGATATAGTTTATAGGATACGGTTATGCTACTTTTATAGCGTGAGCATTTACATGCCTTTGGCTGTTTGGTGCCTTTGAGTGTGCATAATCTTGTATGCTTATTACTAAAGTCGCATTTTCACCATTGAGCTGTAATAGGATTGTTACTTTCACTCTGAATTGTGAATACTGAAGGTTTTATGTCACTAAATTTCACACAGAAGAGGAGTTTTAAAAACATAAGATTTACTTTTGGGTTATGGTTAGAAAGATGCTAAGAAATTCAGAATAATCATATCAGTCAACTTTTGTCAAGACAGTAGGTAAAATGCAAATAGTTGCCAATAAATACACTCATGGTAATAGACTATATTTCACTACAAGCTATCATGGAAACATAATTCACCACTTTTAGGTGAGTAATTACATGGAAACATAATAAAAACTGCATATGACTTCAAGCATATATCACTCAAAGATGAACGGTCTAAATTGGCATCACTAAGCTTACCTCTGCTTGCTCTTCTTCCGAGGACATGGTCTTATCAGTATAACTAGATCTTGATTTTCTTAGAGATATGCCAGATTGAGTCAATAAGCTCCAGAATATCTGGAAATGAAATTTTGAAAGGGAAAAAGTGCATTAAGTCAGACATGGTTACTATAGATTGAATACTGATCTACTAGGAAGCTAAAGCAAGAAAAATATAACATATGAAGTGAACTTCACATCTCTAGACTTTTAACTCCTTGACTATAATAGTGTCTATGACAACCTAGATTGCACGGATACGGGTGCCGACACGGGTGCAGATACAGATACGGACATGGGACACAGCAAAATTTGTAAAACTTAGGATACAGGGTGCATGCATGCATATCAAAATGGCTACAACATGTGTATGTTTATTTTATTATGTAGATTATAAATTTGTAAACAAGGAACTAATTGTATATGCATATTTGTAGGTTGATGATCTTTCAAAGATTTGAAGACAAGATGAAAACCAAGAATCAAGAAAGAATAATTGATGTAAATCATGTAATCCATGCATGTATATCATGATTTTCTTGACTTATGTAATATGAAATATATGTATATGTATTATGAAAATGCAAGCAAATTTGGTTCTAAAATTTTCATTTATTAGTCATCTAGAGCATACAACAACACTCAAGAAGTAACAACTATGTCCAAAAATATTACACGTTTCTCCTAAAATATTACAAGTATACCACCAAAATGTTACAATTATACCCCAAACTGAGCATTAATTAATCATATGCAGACAATTAGTAAAAACTGAAATTGAGCAGAGAGAGAACGAGAAACAAAACTGCACGAAAAAAAGAACAAAGAAATGACAGAGTTTGGTCTTTATATTTGTGGAAGAAGCAATTATCAAGTATCAGTTGGAACTCATGGGTTTCAATGAATCATTATTTCAAATGAGTGTATGAAATCATGATAGACAGCGACCACAAAGAAAGGAGAAAAAGCGAGCTAGGAGAGAAAATGGAACAAATTATATATTATTTTTCTAAACTAGATTGTAAATTAAAAACTGCAGAGAACTGGGACAGAGAAAAATTGTCAAAAACTGACGAAAATGAAACCGTAAAAATGTTCAACAACTGAAATAAATGAGAAATAAAATAGAATACTTTGGGTATATAAATGATACTTTCGACCAAGCTAGAAAAAAGTGAGATAAAATCAAAAAATTCCTCAAAATGTGATGATTTCGACACTACAAAACAAAACCCTAGCTCAATTACAAGTTATATGTCAATTTTGAAAACCCTGGAAAACCTTGAAAGTATAAAAAAACTTAAAATTACCCACTAGTTCTTTGTAATGTCTTCTCAAATGCTTCTCAAGGTCTCTTTGAACTCCGACGAAGCCATTTCAGTGCCTTTTGATGGCGTCGAGCAGATTTGGGACGCGATATTTTCTGCGTCGAAGAATTTAGGAGTTGGGTTTGGGTTTTTCGGGTTTAAAACCCCTTTTGTTTTAAAACCCGCTAAGAAAATGAACTTTGGATTCGATATCCAAAGGCCCAAATCCGGTTAATTGCGGATAAACTTCTTGTACTAATCCAAGTGCCGATAGACCCTTGGGTGCCATTTGGCAAAAGAAAAATGATAGGTATACTACTCTCCTTATACTGTTTTGATACCACTACTCATAAAAGAGTGGGGTCATAATGGCTGGCCACTTTAAAATTGTAGTGGTGAGTCATCATGATTTAATTCTTTTGTTAATAATAATGTCAAAATAGTGCAAGAGGAGTAGTGCACTTATCACTACTATTTGACAAAGGGATAAGTAAGGGGTTCAGAAACTTGATCTCTTCTTAACCCGCCAAACACAAAAAATTTATACAATAGTTAATGTGAAACTCTACATAAATTGTTAAATGCAAAAAATATAAAAAGGTTAAGCTAACCAATCTAGAGGAATTAAAATGAGTTAAGTCTTCAAAATGAAAGGTTTACTAATACTCCTATTTAGAAGAATCAAGAGTTAACATTCTCATTCTAATTATAATTGGTTATTAACTAAATCAATTAAATCAAAATTAAACTTTCGAATTAAAGCTCTTCCATTCAAAACTAGTTAATATGAAATTGATCTAATTGGAGTTGGTTGATAATTAAAGAGTAGAAATAATCTTAGAGGCATAGGCATTGTAAAATAATATGCATTGCATGTGTATTATTAACCAATTAATTGATAATAACTTATGGAATTAAATAATGAGTTTTGCTTCGGTGCTCCTATAATATTTGTATTTAATTTTTTATTTAAAAGGGTAAAAAGGTATTTGTAACACTTTGGAAATCATCATACCTAACAGAACTCATTTCCCGCAAAACCAATCCACTCATTTCATTTGCATCCCCTTTCCTTCCCGAATCAAATCCATACAAATAATTCCTCCTCTTCTAAGTTTTCACTTTTTTTTTATTTCAATCAAGCAATGATTTCGCTACTTAGATTGATGGCTAAACAATAGTCAAGTCACACGAAGCAGTGATTTCATAGAGAAAGAACTTAGAATGAACGAAATCAAAAATAACAAAAATTCATATCAAAATCAATAAGTCTTTCCAATTAATCAATGAGTAGGAAGATCCACGTACTCTCAAAAAATCAACTGATTTTATGAAGGAAAAATTAAAAAGAAAAGAAAGTGATTATATCTTTGATTTAAAGGCGAAGATGATTTAAAAACAGAAAAACAGATTATTAGACTATTGACATAGTGGTGAAAATAACGAGTAATTAAAGGTCAGCTAAATTGATAATGTCACTAAGGAGGAATTAAAGAGAAAAGGGGGTACTATTCTTACTGGCCATGATTTTTTTAGGCTTAAATGTCAGGCATCAATTTTCAAGATATTTACAAAAGTGATAGTAGAATGAGTAATATTTTTCAGTCGACATTAGAATGATTGTGAGAGCAAAATGATTCGGAATTATTTACATTAATGCCTAATCATAAATTTTGTTTCTCTCCTAAATTGTATTTCCTAAAATAACTTTTTTACCTAATTCAAATTATAGTTAATTACAATTTTGGGTGTGGAACACCTCCTAACCGTCAAATCTATCTATTTAGAAATGTGAGAGCTATTTTTAAGGAATTTATTTACAGATATGTCATCGGTGCCCCCAACAAATTATCATGGAGCACCGAAGCTGTAGGCTTAAATAATTTCTTAACAATAATTGATTGTTTAAAATATTTTTTATATTAGTCCCTTAAAAATCTTTCATATTTTAAAATCAGTTCATCAAAGCATTGAAATTATTATTAAGTAACTCAAATTTTAAGTTATTTTAAAAATCGTCCTTCATATCAAAGGTACAATTAGCAATTTGGGGGACTGATTTCCCTCTAATTGCCTTTTTTACTCTTGATAGGAGGAGATAATATCAAAATAACTTAGAAATTGGGGATGTAATTGCTATTTCAATGATTTGATGAATTAATTTTTAAAATAATAAGAATTGAGTAACTTAATAGTTAAATGTGGTTACCTTTGCAAGCTCATGGAGATATTTTTATTAAATATTAATAGGCTTTCTTAATCTATAGACATTAAGGATTAACATAGAATATATTTTTCCCGATTCTTTTTTTACTTCATAAAATTTTTATGTCCATCTGTTATTATTTGATTCGACGCATTAAAGAAACCAGTTGCTATATGAGTGAGTAATCTTTTCGAATGATTTGTTGCTTATATTGCTTATGTTCACAACACAACGACATATAAAATGAAAAGTTGAAGGTACATAAATGTAAGTATTAAGAAAGTTCATAAACAAACATCATCAAGTAAAAATTTAAAAAAATAATTTCACAACCATATTACATCATCGAGTAAAGAAATAAACCAAACAATCGTGATATTTAACTGTTGCGCGCAGCGAAAATTTCGACAGCACTTCGGTAGCACAACAAGAGAGTCAGATCGCAATAGAAATTCCTGTTTTACCAAGGAAACAAGAACCTTAAACAAAATATCTCAACCAAGTGAGATATCAGCTCTTTCTCTAATCAGTTCTTGGACTGACCTGTCGAGAGAACCTAAATAAGCTATTACAAATCACACAAATAGCGAGACAACCAATTTTACGTGGTTCGGCAAATTGCCTACGTCCACGGAGAGAGGATGGGGAGATTCCATTAAATCAATGAGAGTACAAAGGGTTACAATCTCACAAAACTCACAAACTAACCCTCAACCAAATTTCACAACTTTCTCACAATATCTCCCTCTCACAATGCTCAAAAGTCTCTCTAATCTCTGATTACAACTCTCCTCTCTTTTGATGATTGATTCTAATCTCCATATATATAGAAAAACTAAAACCAAAACATACTAGGAATCCTAAAACCAAAAACAAAACAAATTAGGAATCCTAATAACCTCATGTTACCAAAATAGATTAGGAATCCTAATAACCTCATGTTACTAAAATAGAATAGGAATCCTAATAACATCATGTTATCAAAATAGATTAGGAATGCTGCTATCCAACAATTCTCTACCTTGGCGAAGTATTCCGAAAACTGAGCCGACACCAACATGAGCACCAATGCGTCGTCTCACCAAATTTAGTTGCACCAATGTGGTTGCCTATGTATCCCCTCTCCCAAGGGATCAAGCCACCAGTAGTTCATCCAAATGGCCGCCAACAGCCTTAATAATCACGAATGTGTAATAAGTTTTGACAATGATCAAACTTGTTGCTCGGAACCACCTTAGTGAGCATATCCGTCGGATTATCCTTCGTGTGGACTTTCACAATCTCCACATCGCCATCTTCAAGAACATCTCAAACAAAGTGATAATGAATGTTAATATACTTCGTCCTCGCATGAAAAACCTGATTTTTTACCAAATAGATAGCACTCATGCTATCATAATGAATAGTAACGGACCGCTGTGATATACCAAGTTCCTCCAAAAGTCCTTGAAGCCAAATAGCCTCCTTCACAGCCTCTTTAATCGCAATATACTCTACCTCTATCGTAGACAAAGTCACCGTCGACTGTAAGGTGTATCTCCAACACATCGGCGCACGGGTCAAAGTAAACGCGTACCCCGTCGTAGACCGACGCTTATCCAAATCCCTAACATAATCCGAATCAACATAACCAATGCATAACTACCCACCTGTAGTATCCCTCTCATAAACCAAACCAACATTGAGCGTACCTCGAATGTACCTCAAAATCCATCTCACGGCGTCCCAATGACCCACTCATGAATCATGCATGTATCTCAAAATCATGCTCACCGCATGTGATAAGTCTGACCTCGTACATACCATCGTATACATCAAGCTCCTAACCTTGCTTGCATGTGGAGTCTTCGATATCAACTCTCGATCTTCAACTGACTTCGGTGAAAGGTCAGCTGAAAGCTTCAAATGGGCTCCCAATGGTACACTAACTGGCTTTATATCCATGCTAATATGAAATCACTATAGAACCTTTTTCAAATAAGCTACTTGTGTCAAACAAATTCTGGCATTCTTCTTGTCTCAGTCAATCTCCATCCCTAAAATGCGCTTCGCCTCACCCAAATCCTTCATCTCAAACTCCTTTGAAAGTTGTGCCTTCAACTCATCTATAGCAGATCTGGAAATGGAAGCAACTAACATGTCATCGACATAAAGTAATAAATAGATGTATGCACCCCCTTTCAACTTGCGAAAATATACGCAAGGATCAAACTGGCTCCGAGTGTACGAATGACCAATCATAAAACCATTAAATCGCCTATACCACTGTCGAGGAGACAACTTCAAACCATATAACGATTTTTTCAATCTGCAAACCAATTTTTCCTTCCCTACAGCTCGGAATCCCAATGGCTGAGTCATATATATTTTTTTATCAAGATCACTATGAAGAAATGTTGTCTTCACATCCAACTGATCTAACTCTAATCCATATCGTGCCACCAAAGCTAGCAAAATTCGAATCGAAGAGTGCTTCACCACCGAAGAGAAAACCTCGTTATAGTCAATACATTCCTCCTGTGCATAGCCCTTCGCAACCAACCTAGCTTTGAACCTCAATGGAGTGCCCTCAATGCCCTCCTTCTTTGTGTATACCCACTTACAACTAATTGCCTTCCGCCCATTTGGAAGCTCAACCAGCTCTTATATATCATTCTTATGAAGAGACTCCATCTCCTCATGCATATAGCTACCTGCCACGAATCAGCCTCCGAACTCTACTCGGCCTCTCTGAATATAGTAGGTACCATCTCATCGATACTCTCTACCGGAAGTGCATATGCAACTGCTGTATCGGTATACTGTGTTAGCATCTGTATGTCTCTCCTCTGTCTCCGAACAGTAATAGAATCCTGAACCTGAGCCGTCGATTCCTGATCCTACACAACTGTACCCGTATCCTCCTCATCATTGCCGTGCTTG